CTGTCCCTGTCCCTGCCCCTGTCCATGCCGCTGCCCCTGTCCCTGCCCCTGCCGCTGCCCCTGTCCCTGTCGCTGTCCCTGTCCCTGCCCCTGTCCCTGTCGCTGTCCCTGCCCCTGTGCCTGTCGCTGTCCCTGTCCCTGCCCCTGTCCCTGCCCCGCTGCCCACGCCAGCCTTCCACCACCGCCCCGTGGTTCCCGCTGTACCGACCATCACCCCCGCCCGGCCCCGGAGCCGCTCCCCGCCCCGGCTCCCATCCTCCCTGTCCCGGTTGAGGCCCCGGCGCAGCGCTCTCGGAGCTGCCGCAGGCAGGAAGAGCCGGGACCCAGCTAGCTGGAGCATCTAGAGCTTACCAACTTTTTAACTAAGTCCAATAAAAAAGGATGCAGCAGGACTTTGAAGCTGTAGATCCACGATTCTGAATTCAAAGAAACATAAATTGAAATAAATAATACTACCCACTTCAAAATTGCTACAAATAATTTAATGGCAATAATTGCTACTAATAATTTGCCAGTGTACTCAGTATGTGGAGTTGAAGCAGCTCCAGAAGTGCTGTGCATGCGAGTCCGTGCATGCACCAGAGACTCCTGCTGGTAAACTGCAGCAAGGAAATACTTCAACTCAGTAGTTTGAACCCAATGGGAGTTTTATGAGAAGATGGAGAGTGGAAGGATGGAGTTGGGAAACCAGTAAAGGGGAAATGCTAATTTGTCATTCACTCACTGGTATGCAGTAGTTTATTTGGCATGCACAGGAAAGTGAAATCAGGTCACCAAATCCAGAGAGGGGCAGTTACTCTTTTGGCTCTAAACTCAAAAGAGAGCCTCCCTCATAACTGGCTGCAGCATGACTTCAAGCTGATGTATAAAAAAGCATTATTCCCTCTGTCATGTAAGCTCATAGGCATGGAAACCTAGGCAGAAGAAGGGAAATGATGGGAATTGGTGTTCATTTTATGTATGGATACGACATGGTTGAAATAACCGTTGTAAGATATCAGAACATCGTTTGTAAAAGGAACCCGCCCTGCATCTATTGAAGTAGATAAATTACAAAGAAGGTGAAAAGTGCTCCAGTAAATTATTTACTACTCCTAGTTCAGGCAGTTAATTGAATGTCTGTCTCCTGGATTACTGTAAAAGGTGCTGTATTGGTAGCATTCAGACTGGGTTTCCAAACGTTTTTAATGCAATCTACTGCTCTGCTGCATAGAGAGAATGCTGAGGTTTGTGTATGTCAAATGAACTAAAAGCAGTAATGTCTCACAGTGGTGTGTGATCTGCAATAAACTACTGTGCTTCTCAGTGTGGTGACTTACCTTCACCAAAACGCAGTGATTTTGGTTACAATGAATTGTTTTTCAATACATATGGAGCTTAATTATCATCCAAATGTAATTCCAGTGCTCCCACAATACTACAAAATTACTAAATTAGTCCAGCATGTTTAATATCAGTAACGTTATAATACTTTAATTATTTTAAAATGTGAATTGCCAGTCTGCTGTTGAATGTACCTAAAAAATAGTTGTATTTGTATTTATTAGGATCTCTTTAAATAGAAATGTTTAAAAACGTAATAGAAAAACTCAACAACTCCTAGTTTCTAAACGGAGGTAGATCTTTTAAAGCTTTTTATTATGCTTGGTAAGGTAGTGATTATTTGCATATTAATTGATGAACACAAGCCCATGAGGTTTGGTCAGCATTTGATTCCACTATAGATAGAAACAATATTTCAGAACACATTTTAGGTAAAAATCTGCACTATAAAAATGCTACTTTGTGTCTTTTTATTTTTAGGTAACAATCACATGATTACTTTCCTGACTGGATTGTCTAATACAATTAACCATCACCCTCAGTAACAATATAGAAACTTGAATCTCTGTCCTGTGATAAAGGTGCTAAAAGAAGACTGAGTTGGCAATGCTCTGATTTTTTCCAGGAACACATAAGCAATACAGCTGCATTGAAATAAAAAAAAAAAATCTGGAGAGGTTGTCAGATAAACCAAATACAAACCCCATGGGTGTCTGCAGGAAAACCCCACTGAGTGTGATGAATGGGCCCACAATAAAATTGTCACTTTCTTTGAAGTGGCTCCAGTGTCATGTGAGCTCAAGCACAGAAATCCCATTATCTTCGCACTAGGAGGAACTAATAGCAATGTTTTTCTTTTGTCATGTGTGTTCAATAATGTGCTTTGTAACACCACATTAGGAGGATAACTTGAGGTGGAAGTAGAGTAAGTTGGCATTGTGCAGTCCTTTTGAGTGTAGTCTGCCGAGGGAACTCAAGCCATTCTTTGGGACCTTCTTGACAGAAAATCATTATTTGTTTTGAGTCTGTAAGAGCAGCTGTCTGTTAGACAAATGGGATGGAAGATGTTGATTTGTTTCTAAGTGAGTCTGAAGCCTGGATTTTGACTCCAGTTTCCAGCTCAGTGGTGTGCTCTTTAACCTTTTAATGAGATGAAGTCCTACTGAATGAATACAGTAAAATAAACGGAATCTAAATGCATGCATAAAGCTACATTTGTGCTTAGAGGGATGACCTACTTTTTTAACATTAAGCACTGAATTCATTGCTTTATTAATGTGGTTAAATGTAATGGCACCTGTTATCCTTGTGCCATGAATAAAACCAGCACCATGAAAATGGTACAAAAAATTGAATTGGTATCAATAAGTTAAGGCTTTGTTTCCCAAAAGAGAACTTGCATGAATATTGGAGAAAGCCACTTCTGCCATCTTTCCAGCTTTCCAGCTGTCTAGTGCTGGAAGCACCTGAATTTCCATTTTGGTTTGCAGACTTCCCTCCATCAAAATAAGAAAGCCTCTATTGAAGTAACAAGAAAAAAACCCATGAATTACTTTAGGTTATTTTACATTTGCCTGCCTGGAAAAAGTCACTCTCTGCTACAATGCATGCCCACTCTTTCCAGCTGTATCTACTGGTGTACTGTGTGATTTTACAAAATTTATTGAAGGTTTGGTTCATAATGCTCAGTGGTTAAAAATCAGGTAATATTTGTTCCTTAGTTGTTGCTTTGCTTCTTTTTAAATTTGACTGATCATCAGGCCTTCAAACATGATCACTTCCAGGGCTCCATTTGAACCCGGTTTTCATTTAATGTGCAGGTACATATAGTTAATTAAAGGCTACTTACTGCAGGTAGTTTTGGTGGCAGATATGCTTGGCTCTTCTTAGGACTACATGTTGTGATGTGCAAATCTGGATTTACCCCTGGAATTATCCAGTACCTTGAGCTGCATAAATGTGTGAAGTGTTTTTTTCTGTCAGACCCACTTCTCAGTAGAGGGCGTTTGTGAGATGTGTGGAGTTTGTCATTACTACAGGAACTGATGATGAACCCCTACATTTGGGAATTACTGATGAAGTGGATTTGTCTCTCGTGTTTCCATGTTGTTGTGGTTTCTGCCCTAGGTGTTGAACTCCTGGATGCACTCCATCTGTGGTGCCTGATTGTGCCTGTGCAGTTTCTTCTGTAGCACTCACTCCCTTACTCTTGTGACAGGTACTGGATCAGAGCTGCACAATGAAATTGTCTCTGGGCTGTAATCTGAAATAACATCTAAAGACAGCGGTGGACTCTTGTTTGAAAAGAGAATTATGAACAGTTTGTATATGGAGATCTGAATTCCAACTGGTTTATGTCAGGGTCTGTGGATCTTCCCCACACACGCCTTTTTACCCTCTGCAGGAAATGATATTTATACTGGTTGAGTGTATTCCATTCATTTTATGCAGGCATCTGTTGAAAAATATTGGAAACATAATCTTTCTGTTTTCCCTGAGCTGGAGACACTCACTTTCTTATTTCCTTGCTGTTAGAGTTCTAAAATATATGGACTAGATAAAATCAAGTACTGATAAAAATCAGGAATATAAATTTCCACTGAAAATATTTCTAATTCTTCAGCCTTAGGAGTTCCATCCTGTGGACTAAAGGACAGATAAAAATCAGTAGGATAGAATAAATTCTCCTGGACGGCAGCAGTAGGAGTGGTGGTGTTATGCAACAAAAAGCAAGGAGTCTCACCTCTCTCCATGCAAACTGCAATAAGTTTATATCAATAGAAGTTTTTAAAGTGTTCTTTTGTTGCTATTCATGCAAAAAGACTCAACTTCTTCTTGTCCCAAGAAAATCAATATTAAAGACATGTAAAATTTAAACTATTTTCCCAATGGGAATCATATTGTCTGTTAATATATAAATCCATTTTCAAAGAATTTACCAAAAGGGCCATACTCCCAGTGTTAAACTCACAGTGCTAAAGACTTATATTGGATCCAAATGGAACCAAAAAGCGTGGTTTGGAGTGTTAAAAGAAACACGACTATTATTGATTTTAGAAAATTCCATGTATGCTCAACGAAGTAGATTGTCACAACAATTTATATAAATATGTATCCCATCAGTAAGGCTGGCTCAGAGGTAGCATAGCTGAATTTAAAACCGTGTGGAGGAAACTTGATCAGTAATAAGAATTACCTCCAGAGGAGCTCTGTCATGATTCTGATGAGCTGCTTAGTGGTAAAGGTGATGTATATAGCTTGATCCTTTCTGAGGCCTAGCACTGGTTGGGTTCAAACAAATTTCTCAGCATTATATAAATCAGTAATTTACACAACTTTAACACATTTATATATTCAGGGATGTGAGAAGAGTCACAACAATCAATAAATAGATATAGAGGTGTAACTTTTAAGAAACATTCTTTTTTTTTTTTATAATCAGTATACTGATTTACTTTTTATAATAAGTAAAAGTTTATTTGAGAAGAAATCACTGATTTATTTCCTACACCAGATAGCATGCCATCAACAGGCCATGCACATGTGACATGTTTTACTTCTGATATTTCAGTGCTCAGACCCTCCATAGACCTATCATAAACTCATAGAGCTTCAAGAGAACTGCTGTAGTAATATGAACAAGCTAATTCTCTACAACCTCATCAATCCTCTCTTTTGAGAAAATGGAATAAAGGAATCAGTCTGCAGAGCATGTTACTGGCAAATGCTGTTATTTTTCTACCTTAACATTTTATCTTGGAAACTTTAGTCCAACGGGTCTGCCTATTTACATGGCTACCTACATCAATGGCTTCTGCTGGAAATAGATGGAGCTGTTTGGAAAGCCTATACATGTACAGACACTCGGAAGTAAAAGACATTACCTCACTGAAAAGCAAGAAACATTAAGGACAAATTCTACTCTTCAAAGAGGCAAACAATATTTATTCTCCACTGTGTTATACCATTTGCAGAGTAAGTAATGGATAAAACACATCACCTGTCCCCCTTTCCATAGTCGAGATCTGTGAAATGCAGCTTCACAAATCAAACCTTAAAACTTTAAACATAGCTGATGTATTTCTATCTATGCAGAACCCACAGCTGGATGTCAGGAATAAACTCTCTTCATTCTCACGCCCCTCGCTCCCTGCCACCCTGCGTTTCAAAGCACTGTGGTTTCACCTGAGTAAGATTCAGGAAGACGAGTTTCCGGAGGCGATGCCGCGTTCTGTCCGACGTGTCGGACAGCTCTCCGCTTTGCGGGGCACAGCCTGGCGGGGGCTGCTTTGGGGTGGGCAGCGCCGGGACAGAGGCTTCCCTCTCCCGCTCACCACGTCGTCCCCATCGCGCTCAGGGGCTGGGACCCCGCGGGACGGCGACAGCGGCTCCGGGATCCGCCTCTCCCTTCACCGCAAGATCCACCTCGGCGGCGCGGGGCTGGGGCGAGGGCGCAGGCACTCGCAGGAGGAGGGGCAGGGCGGGGCAGGACGGCCCCTCCCGGTACTAGGTATAAGCCGGTGCTGCGGGGTGAGGAGTGGGCTAGCTCTGCAGCCCCCGGCACAGACCCGGCAGCACCGGGTCCGCTGGACAGCGCTGGCGGCTCCGCGGGGGCGGCCGGACCGCTCCTCCTCCTCCGCCTCCTCCTCCTCCTCCTCCGCCGCCGCGGCAGCAGCGGCGCGCCGAGAGCGCTCCCGGGGACGCGGGCAGGTGGCGGCTGTCCTGACGGCGTCCTCTGCGCCCAGGCTCAGGATCTCCTGCCCACCGGGAGAAGCTTGTCCGAAGAGCCGAGGGGTAGCGCACGGGAGTTTGTGTTTCTCTCCCTGGCCGCTGCGCCGGCGGCCATTCCTCTGCATTGCTTAAGGGAGAAAACTCGGCAAAGAAGGGGTAGGAAGAAAGGCAGTAGAGAAGGGGGAGAAAGTTGATTGACTTGCAGAGAGGTGAAGCTTTCCTTTGGCTCCCACTGCACTTTACACGGGAGACCTTTAGCCCACGCGAAGCTGGAGGATGGAGCCAGAGCCCCCGCCCGAGCTCACAGCAATGCCCCTCGGGGAGAATGGGAGTGTCCACCTGGTGTCCGACACAGCCCTGCTGTCCCCGGGGAGAGGCACGGCCATGTTCATCATCCGCTGTGTGATCCCTTCACTTTACCTGCTCATCATCACTGTCGGCTTGCTGGGCAACATCACTCTCATGAAGATCTTCATTTCCAACAGTGCCATGAGAAGTGTGCCCAACATCTTCATCTCCAGCCTCGCTGCTGGTGACCTGCTCCTGCTAGTGACCTGTGTGCCTGTGGATGCCTCCCGGTATTTCTCTGAAGAGTGGCTCTTTGGGGAGGTGGGCTGCAAGCTCATCCCTGTCATCCAGCTGACCTCCGTTGGTGTCTCTGTCTTCACTCTCACCGCCCTCAGTGCTGACAGGTAGGAAAGCTGGGCTGCCACTCCAGCTCTCTGCAACTTGGGCTGGATGAAAGGTAAAGCTCCTCTCTAGATAAGGTCTCCCTGGTTTGCAATCCTCTCATTCCAGCCTGGGAGATGCTCATGCTTCTTCTCTCACTGACTGATGACAAGTGGTACTAACTGAAGTTGAAGGGTATCTTGAAATGGCATTGCCTGGCCCCCAGGTCCATCTGCAAGAAGTGAATTTAGCCCTCTCTTCTGCACCTCTGGGATGCTCCTGTAACAGTCCAGATATTGAAATTTATTCATTAGAGTAAGGTTTTAGATGCCAGATATGACCCTTGCCGAGTCACACTGTTGTGTCAATAGGCAGTGACTTAAACAATGTTAGACACAGATGTATTTTTTAATCAATTTATTTTCTTCTGCTGAGAAGGTGTACACATGTGTGCATGTATGTGTGTCTGTGCCGTAGTAGAAGAACAAGTTACCAGAGGGGTGACTGCCGGAACTCGTTTAGCTTCTGGGAATTCAGGGACACCAAATTGCTGTTTTAATTGTCAGTCTTAAACTTTCATTCAAATTATTCTTAACTTCAGAACTTTTAGAAAAGAAGAAAGAAAAAACCAAATACCCCTCAACAAAGTAGAAAGTAACACTTTTATCTCCAGTACTTGTCAAAATAGGAAGAAACAAAGAGCTGGATCCTCAGTTTTTCCTCCCAATTACTGTAAATGAGTTCTTAAGTAATTTACAGCAACTGAGTGGCTGTAGTACTATGCTTCTGGCTCTGAAAGACAAAATCTTGCAGTGTAATTGCAAACTTAAATTATATGAAATTATCTTTATTTTTCTTATCTAAGCAAAGGTTTTTGGCCAGAAATGAAAATGTTTAATTCCTTCTCCATAGAAATACTCCCATTTTCCTTTGAGTTTTGAACTAAGCCACTGAATTATATTGGTGCATGATGTGAAGAGTTGAGTTTAGAAATACATCTTCACACTTAATATTTCTTTAAAACTTTAAATCCTTTATTTTCTTTAATAGACTACAAGTAATTTCTTTTTCTTTTTCTTTTTTTTTTTAGCTAATTCAGTCCATTGTTTGATTTCACTTGAGGGTAGTCTTCAGTGAACATTAATTTCAGCTCTATTTGAATCAGGACCTAACATATTTGTCTATAAAGACTACAACTTGTGAAAATGGAATATGGTTTTGAAGAAGAGCTTGCAAAACATACCTTAAAGTGAACACCTGTACCTCTCTGATTGCCTCAGTTAAATAGTATTTCAAAATCTATCCTTACAGATGCAAGGAAACCCTGCAGTTCTCTTTGTGCTCTATTTCCAGTCCTTAATATCTTGTGTACATCTTATTTGAAAGGGAAGAAGTTAGTGAAGATCATCTCTCTAAAGAAATGTAATGTGAGGGAATGCTGGTGATTTAATGCTAAAATTGCAAGTACTAAAAAACAGTTTGTGTGCTGAGACCAAATAAGTTCATAATAAATACATTTCTCCAGCATTTTGGACTCCACAGTATATACCAGTGTCAAAAATGGTTATACTAGGAATTTGCAATGTTTCTTTAACCTTTGTAGTTTTATTTTAGGTTACTGGAAACAAAAAAACTTTTCTTTTCCAGCCAGAAGATCTTCCACTGACTTCAGAGACCAGTCTCCTAGGGCCCAGGAGACTGCTGAGTGAAGCTGGCTGAACTTTCAGTGGTGTCTGTGTTGGAGTCAAATCTATGGTCTTTGTACAACACTTGTGTTGAACTGGAGGGGTCTCTGTGACATTAATCCTTAGCCAGATTCTAATGTGTGCCATTACTAGATCAGCTGTGGGTGGTTTTGCTGGCAGATCAGAAGTGTTGGCAGCGTCCTGCACCCAAGAGGTGCTGAGGAGCTGAGGCCTGGCTGGGGCAGTGTTTTCTTCAGATCAGTGAATCTAGGGTAGGATGTTAACAGTTTGTAAGCAGTGATGTCACCAAGAGGGCTCCATTATAATCCAGTGCCTATTTGGTCTGGTACACAATGTCTTCTTGGTGGCCCCTTCTTTCACAGATAATGTTCAAAGTACATTTTAATATAGAATAATTAAAGCCCTTCCTGCTTTTTGCTCCTTGTAACCATGAGACTGTACAGAATACCAGACATGGATTAGATGTAGGATGTACTTACTTACAGATGTAGGAATACTTAGGATTCTTTGGAGCATGCCTCTGTGAATTAGGGTAAGGGACGTTGTCTTGCTTTCCACAGTCTAATAAACACTTATTGTTTATGTGGAAATTCTGCATGACAGTTTCCTTGTGTGATACATTTACCAGAAGTAGCTACAGAAGGTACAAACTCTGATTTTTGCCAACAAACTGAAGGAAGAAAAAGTAGTACTTTTAGTACTAGTTAGAGTATTACTACTTCATAAAAGTATAGTAGTATACTACTTTAAAAGTATACTACTTTGTAAAAGTAGTAGTATATAATTGCACATATATATATTTTCTAAAGTTGCTTTATTTCATATAGATCTTTTTTTTTTGGTCACAAAAGTCCTTCTCGGCATCAGTAATGTTTCAGTGTGACAAACATACCCCTTTTATTTGGAAGCTTCATTATCTTGTATTATTTGAATTTTAATTTGGGGGGTTTTGAGTGTATGTAAAATGTAATATGTAATTTTTAACAATACTTTGCAGACTTCCCTTCCATGCAGATGGAATTTAGCAGCATATCTGCCTGAGGCTGCCCATCCCCATCACAGGAATGGCAGCTGGTTCTTGGGTGCCCTGCTGCAGCCCAACACGTGTTGGGGCAGAGAGAGGTGGGAGGTCAGTGGTGGAGGTGGGGATGGTGGCAGCACAGATGATGCAGTGGTGGCACTGGTGGTGCAGGGTTTTGGTGTCAGAGCAGAAAGCAATCTCCCTCTCCTCTGGGATGGAGAAGGCAGCACAGGAGCTGTGCTGCTGAGCCAGCTGTCCCTTCTCACTGCCACAAAGGAGATATGTAGGGACAGCAACCCTGCCCCTCACGGCCACTGAGTTTTCTTTATTGTGGAGAAACCAGACCACCTCTACAAACCTTAATATTTCTCTTGTTTATAAAACCAAAGGAAAAAGAGGGTGGATAACAGAAAGAGAAAACTTAATAGAATGGATGACAAATGAGGAAAAGGGCTGAAAGACAAAAATGTACCAAAAAAAAGAGGGGAACTAAGGGGATTGTAGGACAGAACACTCCCAACAGCACTCAGCACACACTGAAAATGCCCAGAGCTGGTGCGTGATGGCTAGGGATGCACTTCCTAAAGATGTGGTGGGACAAGAATTGAAAAATTAGGCCTTTCTGAGCTGGTTTATCCAGGGTCCATGGACTGCAGTTTTGGCAAGGGCTAATGGATGTTGATGAGAAACTCTCAGGACTTAGTGTGGTAAGGAAGATAAAAATAAAGAAATGAGAATTGTTTGCCAGAGAGACTGCACCATGGCATGCATGAAGAAAATGTGTGCCAGCATGTCCTCACTGCAAAAAGGGCAGAAGCCAAGGATGAACCTCACTTGAAACATCTAATGAACTTGCTCACTTCTGCACAAAGTGTTTTTCCAATTGATGTCCATGATGGACCATACATTAAGCTCAGAAGGCAAACTGAGTCCATAGGGCCCCTCCTCTTTTTCTCAGGATGAGGGATCTTGCTGTTTTGTGCACAGGAAGGAAACTAGAGGAACATAAGAACATAAGCAGGGAGGTATGGAAAGGTGCTTCCAGGATGCTTTTCAGAGTTAGATATCTGGATGGCATTTTAACCTTGGTGTGGACAGCTCAGAGGGCAGTGAATTTTGACTGAGTGCACCTCTGTGCACCTCTGGCATTATTGCATTTTTGTGTGATACTCACAAAATGCCAAGGCATCTGGAGTGAATAGCCTTTGAAGGAATAAATAGCAGCCCCTTCAAATAGCTTTAGATTTGTTCCATGTAGTCTTTCCTTTTCTCTTTAGCTGTCATTTATGCCTCATTTTTTAAGTGATTTGTAAAAACAGGATTAAATTTAATTCTGTTTCTTTTCCTACACTGAATTTTGTTTATAGTGAAAGATTTAAATGTGTTAGCTCTAATGCAGTTCTGCTGCACTCTAATGGAGACAGCAAAGCTGAACTTGCCCTACTACAACTGGAATAGCATCCAGTAGTATTTGCTCTTTTCCTTAGTAATGTGACATAAAGACACCTTTGATGACGTAAATACTTGATTAACAGGTAATAGTTTGAAAATTTAAATTCATACTTCAATAACTAAATATAGTGCCTGAGATGCTTAAAATGTATTCTATAGATTTTCATAGCTAAACTATTTGTTCCTTCTATTTTTTTTCTTTATTTGTTTTATATTTGGAAGACTGCAATCTATATTTTTAAAAAATCAGAAATATTTTTTGCAAGTTTGCATTTTATAATGGCTTCTGATGACATCTGATACCAATATCTTTTTGGCTCAGTTTGCTGGTCTATTATCATCTTTTTTTTGGGAACTTTGGAAGTGTTCTGGAGTGTGAAAAGCTGCCCCTAGTAACTTCTTTGGGTTTTTCATTAGTAATATCACCTTAATGAAAACTTCTTACTTTTCTCAGAATTTATTTTTAGTTTCTTTTTTTATTATGGCAGATTCTGATTCAGGCTGAAATACAATGACTGAAAAAACATAAAATCTTCATTTCTTATTACATATAGCTGAACAAGTGAAGCAGCACAGGGGACATGATTTCCATTTGAGCTCTAATAGCTGATAGTCAGAGACTAAGGAGTCCTTATGAGGAAAGTAGTATTAAATGACATCTTGAAAATTACTTCTAATTAATCAAAAATAAAGAAAAAATAATCAAAGGTAAAAAGGAAAATGTATAAGTGAAAAACAATGCCTTAGCTGTATACAGTAGATGGGAAAACAAAAATATATGGACCAAGTAGAATTACGAGATTCTAAAGTATACATTTTAGAAACCTTAACACTTGGGGTAAAT